ACGTCGCACTTGATGAAGCGGTTGCACTCGCTGGGGTGCGCGAAGTGCCAGTTGTCGGCGTCTGCGGAAGCGCAGATGCGGGCGCCCAGCTCGCCGCCGTCTTCGTGCGGTGCCACCCAGCCCGCGCTCGCAAGCGCCACCAGCGCCGCCAACGCTGCCAACAGGACGAATCGGGAACCTGCGGAGAAAATGGCGTCACAAATGCAAACACTTGAGAATTCCATACGTAAACATAAATATGCAACACAGTGTGTACAATAATCAAAAAGGAATTCCCTCTAAATATATATTAGTTACATTTAGAAAATTACATAAATTCATATTCTAAATGTAACTTAAGTTGCAATGTCAATTCTTGTAATAACGATTCTGTCATATTTGACCTGTAATATGTGGGGAATCTGTGTAGCGCACGTTTAACGGATTATATGGATGTTAATTAACCGTTCTAATGCATAAAGGCTTGTGATTTATTTGAAAATTTCGGGCAGAACAGGATTCAAAAACATTTTCTAATACAAAGCAAATATGAAATTATCTACCGTTGCGAAGAAAACGGGAAAGCAATTTTCATAACTTTAATTTTTAGGTACGTCAGGATTGTTATTTCCACTCATGGTCTTTAAATAAATGTTAAAGAAATGTATTGCGAGCTACTAAATGTATTCTCTGTAGATTGTGTAATGAAGGCTTATACAGAATGTATCTTACCTGCCATGATGTATTCGGTATGCTGCGTTCGAAGGTACTGGCTGCAAATCGAGAGGATGCTTTTATATCGCTCTGGACTACAGTTGCGACGATTATCTCCCGAATTATTTTCATATGATATAAATCAGATTGTTTAAAATCAAGGATGGCAATTCATCAAAATGCGGTGATAGAAATTAACAGTTTTCGTGACATCAACTTGAAAACGTCAAATTTACGATTCCGTGTCTGGTTTAATCCGTGTGTGGAGAGAGAGCCCTGTCTTCGTTGTGTGTGATAATGGGTGGCAGTGATTGATCACTTGAAAATAAACATGGCAATTACGTCTGTGAAGTTTAAAAAATATACACGGTTCGCCAATGCACTTCCAGAACATTTCCAATTCCAAATAAGTTTTTATTTAGGCGTACAAAATGTTCACTTTAGTTCCTGATACCTTTTATACTCGTTCACTACACCGTTCAAAATGTATTCCAAGAATGGTCTGTTAAGGAGGGTATTGGTTCTGTCAACCCCACATTTTAAGGGTTTATTGTACACAGTGTTGGGTGGACATATGATAGGGAATGTTCATTAATGTGGACCGATTTTTTTAGCACTCTCATAGAGACTCAATTCAACCTTCGAGCGATCGCGCGCGGGCGGTATAAATGTTGCTTTTGAAAATAATGCGGCGCTGCGCCTGGATGTTTGAACTCTGCATGGTAGGAAGCAAGGTATTTTCTAGTTATCTATTGAGACAAAAGATCTCCAAACACTCGGACCAAATTTGCGCTAAGTGACCAACTTCATCAGTGTTCGCTCTATGTGGCGTAAACACCGCCACGCGCCTGTTCCAGTTTCTTTTTACAAATGTGATGTATATGTTGGTATATTTTTCATATATTTTGTAATAAAAATGTCACAAATATGTTCTTATGCTCATTATTATGTACAATAAATGAATTGGTTATTTATGACACAATTTGTTGGTGGTATTAGTAATCTATATTCCTAACACCTACTATTCCCCTTTTATGGAAACATATTTTGCTGCCTATACATTATCTCTCCCCCTCTTGACGATTTCCATACTTATTCCATTTTTACCTACCTTCTTCATTAGATTTTAATTTAGATTGTTATCATGTCATTATTATATTATATTAATAGTGTAAATTGTTTAATATTACATTTGGGACATTAACAGAATTTCGACGTCAAGAAAGAAGACAGGGAACGACGGCATTATTTAGGGAAGATTCTTCACTTCGGCACCGTGGGATACGAGAACCTTAAATTCACAAACTATAAGCCCTACAAAAAACATCACGCAAGATAGTCAAATCATTCTTTGCAAAGAAAATATTACTTTTTTAAAGTGAAGGACTTAAATAATTTAAAAAATTGTTAATTAATTTGATGTCATGCTGAGAGTAATGTAGTAAGCAAAATTATGTAAACGAAATATAAAAATGGCAGCAAGAAATAATGTGTGTTACCGAAACATGAAGACTTATTTTCACTTTCTCGCACTTACTAACGTAAGAAGGCAGTCTTGTAATCAACGCGCCGGAAAATGGCGCATTTTCAACACAAAAACTTATTTCCGGGTTCTGGCGAGGAGGAAGAGTAATCCAATTGCTAAAAATAGAAAAAAATCCTCTAACGCGAAGTGTAGCCAGAATCCATGTTTTGTGCGACCTTCTTAAAGGAAAATCGATTGACGGCAAAACACTTGTCTGTGTGTCGATCTGTCTGTGGACAACGCTAACGCATTAACAGTTCAGACGATTTTTACCAAACGTTATGGCTGATTTCGCGGACCCAGGAATTGTTATCCATTGTCGTAACGCTGCCGATAATGTCGGCTGCTTTTAGTTCGCGGAAATAAAAACGAATACTTTTAAATATTTGTATAATATTATAATACCGTAGTGTTTAAAATTACTATTATATATTTTTGATCTAGTTATTTTCCAGTGCTATCAGTATCGTATTATTTATTAACTTTTAAATATTTTACTGTCTTGCAATCTGCTTAATTTTTGCACCAAATGTTCTATGCTTTCACATGAGTTTCACAAAAAATATTTCAGAGAGAAATTGTGGTATAAACAGTATTACATAAGCATTATGAATGGTGAGAAGGTAGGTGCTGTTTTAGCACAACTAGTTTAAAAAAATTATAGTTGTCTACATCTTTCTTACGTCCTTAATATTTACACTCACAATTTGTATACATTGTAGTATTTGTGAGAACGTGGCCATAAAATTATATCTTATAAAGTTTCTCGAATACCTTAAATTTTTCTGTGAAAATAAGCTCAAAATTCGCATTTTCAGAAACGCTTAAACGCCATGTTCTCAAAAATGGCTCAAATTTTTTCTTCAAACATTTTGTACGTGTATTGCTAAATGTACTGTATTAACATTAAGTAAAACCGATTATTTTTTATTCTTTTGTTTTCTTTTTAATTACATGGTTGTAAACCCAAAATAATTATCTCCGGGAGAACTGTGCTCTAAAAATGCGCTCATTAATGTGTTCGCAGCTTTTCGGGAATTTTGCGATTTTTTAAATTAATATGCTGCTTGTTTCTTTTCATTCCTTCTCCAGACTGATTCCATAATGAAAAAACTCGTTAATCATCAAACCGGCTGAGGTGGTTAAGAACATCAGCTGATGTGCGTTCAGTGCCTCTGACAGGCAGGTCCTACACTTTCAGTCCCGACGATGGCGGGTTTCTCAACATTAGCTAAATACCTAGACCAATTGAAGCCGCCGTTTGGCGAAACCTTTTAGCGACCGGTTACTCCCGAGGTTTCTTCGATCAACATCTGGCCAATGCCGGAGTAGTACCCTAACCATGGACCACACACGAGCTTTCCTTCCTCTTCCTTGACCCTTACTCTCCCTTCACTTACACAACTTACACTTAGCATAGAGCTTGTCTCGGCAGACGCGATGCCACGCTGGTGGGAGATACCGCAAGCCGACATTGTAGCGTCGTGCCACGCTCAAACTGCCGGATGTTCTACAAAGGGCGGAGTAATGAAGCACTGAGATTTTCCGAGGACGTAGAGGGCCCATAGCGGCTTTGGAGAGGAGGCAATGGGGCAGCGGGTAGAGCCAAAAGGGCCTAAATAAGGCCAGGAGAACAACGCCCCAGTCTTCTTGTTCTAGCGGCGTCGGTGACAGGTGAAGCGCGTGTCTGTGCGTGTAGGTGCACTAGGGTGAGGGGCCGGCAATTCATTGTCGTGACTTGCGACACGCGTAGATGGTCTCAAAGTAGAGTGGCTTCATACGGGGAACATCGGTGGTATGTTGCGGTGTGGTAGCCGTTCTTAAATTCTCTCTCCTTGTAGTGGGTCTATTTATTTAGTTTATTGTGAGCAGGGTAGTTGTTAAATTGAGACAACGGTCTAGATTGTTAACAAATCTACTGTTTTCCAAGCCACTCTCATCTGTGTTCGATTACACCCGTATGACGCCACAACATGAACCAGATCAGCGCAGGAACATCATATCCACGCCCCGCCAAAAAGCATGCACTACAATTACCGGAAATATCACCTTAGTAAATAATGCGGTCGGAAACACGAAATAATCGATTATCAATATTGTAGCTTTGCCGTGATAATTTTTTGTTTGCAATTTTTTGAAAATCCAGAGATGTTGCAGAAAATGGGACCTACCTAATCTTTTTAAGCGCCACTTTCTCTATTCGAGGAAAGTATGAAGAGCACGAATTTTAAGCTGTTTTGTGCATTTTTTAAAAAATTGTTTTCATTTCAAGCAAAAAACGTGAAAAATTAATTTCTTACAAATACTGTACACGAGCATAATTTAAAGTTATATTATTTAGAAGAGGTTCCATGAAAGAAAAAATATTTTAAACATTCCCTATATCTCAAGCAAACGTATAAAGAAACAACTCATATTTTCGAACATTGTACATCACCTTATTTAAATATCTGTCGTTGAAGAACATTTTGTTAAATAAAAATATCCGTCTTTAATATCTTAGTTGTAGGAAGAACTCGAAAAAAATTGAACTTTTCCGATTTTTTAAAACCAAGTGGTGTTAACGAAACGTATGCCATTTTTTATGCATCCTTTGCGTTAATGGAGAACGAAGTATAAAAAAATGGCGAGTTATTTTTGAGAAAATTGTGAAAATGATGTAGAAGTTTCATTAACAATAAAAATTAATTTCATTAATTAATTCATTAACAATTAAAATATCAGTTTCAAACTCGCTTTACTTTTCAATACCAAAACATCACGATTCGGGATCTTCTTTTCAGAAATCACCGATTTCTGCTACAGCATTACAGTATGTTTATCACGTACGCACGTAATAAGGTGAGAAATTAAAAAGCAGTCAAGAATAAGCCACTTTCTTCCACATCATTGATCTCCCTAGGTTACGTACACTACAGCCTGAAACGCCCTGCGTGGGGCGTGTGCCTGAGCGTCTAGGGCTCTACCAAGCTAGCAGGCAAAGGAAATCGACCTAGAGGAGAGCGACGACTCACGAAGGAGGACGCACTTCCAAGGACGTCGATTTTGCGATCAGGGAGGAGGCGACAGCACTTGCCGTACCAGGGCGCTCACTCCCACGCCAACTGCCTCGGGAACTGATCTCCCTTTCGAGAAGAGAGAGTTTTTGTAGCTCTGCGCGCAGTCGGGTGGGTAAGCCTTGCATGGAGCGTGCACTCTTATTGCAATTGTTGCGATCGGAGTATAGTGTTGCAATACATTATACATTTTTCTGCGAACGCACGTACAACTCTGTACATTTCTAGATAAATGTTTTTGGAATTAAAAACGTTCCGGAAGTGCATTAGTGGCAAGTTGACAGAAAATTGATGTTTACTTGTTCTTTGCACACATAATTGACATGTTAATCTAAGTTATCGATCACTGCCATTCAATACCAATAACGAATAAAATTTCCTTTCTCCACCCCCGCATTATCCCAGCTCAAGACTCGTGAGTATGATCAATGTATTTAATAAATAAAAACGCTGACATTGTCAAGTGGTTTTCACAAGTATACCTTATTTTTATCACATTATTAATCGCTACTTTGATTCTAAACGCACTTTGATTTATCTCGACAGAAACTCATGCGGGAGATAACCACAGTAACACTAATCCAGAACAGTATAAAAGCATCCTCTTGATGTGCAGTCAGTACCTTCGAACGAAGCATACCAGACATCATGGCAGGTGAGACACACATTCAATATTTATAAGCCATCATTACCAAAACTACAGAGAATACATTTAACATCTATCAATTCACATCATCAACATTAATGTACATACCACGAATGGTAACAAAAAACATACACTATTACAACTTTAAAATATATTAAAACAGCACTCTCGATCACACCGCACCTTCAAATTATACTATATTTCCTGTGAATTATGAAATTATATTGATTTCCGGCCTGCATGCGTTGCAACACCAGATCGGTCAGAAAGTGCTGTCAAACTGTGTACAGAATAATTGTTACAAAACTGAAAAGGTTTCTCTCCACTCGCGTTTTGTCGATGTCCCACATGCTCATTCATTCGCCTGGATGAGAATTCTAGAAGCGACGTGCACACACCGATGGTTTCTGTGGGGTACTCTGATTGTCGTCCAAGAGGAAGCTAGTGCCAAAGCACCAGCATAAACAAACGCCACATAACAAACGCTAGTAATTAAATTACAGTTCCCGTTAAAAATACCCATCTATGGAACGAAAAATAAACTCAGTCATAACACTCACATAACCTATCAAATATGAACTTAAATGATATTCTCCAAACAGAGCAGACAAAGCTTATTTTTGCCATTCACCACAAGTTACGTTCGGACTGATATTACCTTTGTACACGTAGGCTTCCGCGGCTCGAGTCCATTACTTCTAGGCTGTCCGGGTGACGCCGCGTCGTTGGCAGATAGGCCGACGTTTCGCTTGTCATGTCGCAGGCTTCGTCAGTACCCTGAAGAAGCCTGCGACATGACAAGCGAAACGTCGGCCTATCTGCCAACGACGCGGCGTCACCCGGTCAGCCTAGAAGTAATGATATTATCTTTTTACATTATTGTACACACTGTGATGCATATTTATGTTTACGTAGGGAATTCTCTCAAGTGTTTGCGTTTGTGACGCCATTTTCTCCGCAGGTTCCCGATTCGTCCTGTTGGCGGCGCTGGCGGCGCTGGTGGCGCTTGCGAGCGCGGGTTGGGTGGCACCGCACGAAGACGGCGGCGAGCTGGGCGCCCGAATCTGCGCCTCCGCAGACGCCGACAACTGGCACTTCGCGCACCCCAGCGAGTGCAACCGCTTCATCAAGTGCGACGTACGCAACGGGCGCAGCTCCATCGTCACCTGCCAGCCCGGGCTGCTGTGGAACGACGACATCGACGTGTGCGACTGGCCCGCCAACGTCGTCTGCGGACCCGGTCCCACCTCCACCAGCCGCCGGCCACCCACCTCCACCAGCCGCAGGCCACCCGCCACCTCCACCAGCCGCCGCCCACCAGCCACCTCCACCAGCCGCCGCCCACCTGCCACCACCACCACCGCCGCCCCGATCCCCGGCGACTGGGACTCGCTCTGCCTGCCGTACAACCCGCACCGCTACCACGTGCCCCACCCCAGCGACGACACCAAGTTCTACAAGTGCGACTGGACCGTACAGGTCGCCTACGAATTCGACTGCCCCTCTGGCCTCGTCTTCAACGCCCTCATTCAAGTCTGCGACTGGCAATAGCCTGCTACGTCCATGTTTCCTACTGCTTCTTCGATGTAGCCAATACAAATTCCTTTTTGCGTGTAATAACACTTATTAATAAATATATTTTTGCATATTACTTTTTGTGCTCTAATTAGTTTTGCTCCCTAAATTATATCCTGAAAATACTTTCCAGCCACCTATTTCAATTTTTTCCATAATTACAAACCCGAAAAAATGTTCACTATTAAAAATATTTTGTCACCTTTTCTATTAATGATTCTGCCTTAATCCGCATAGATGTTTGACCATATATGTTTCTTCTCTGCATAATTTTGTTTCCTTGTCACTTTCTTATTTTTTATCTGTACTTCCATTGCACTGTAACTGCAGCAAAGATACAGAACACAATAACATTTTCACTTAATTATAGGTTATGTTTAATATAATTTCAACAAACTTGATGGAAAGTGAAGAGTTAAGTTTTGGTGGAATGACACACATATACTATGCGTGCTGAAGGCTGACTAATAAACCTAGTATGACGATAGAGATTTTCATTGATATGAATTTTTTTCTTGATTAGTTTTCTTTTATTAAGGTATTGTACATATTTTTGAAACTTTTAGTCGTTTCGTGAAATATTGTATGTAATATGTTCAATAATAAAAAATAAACATTTCTCAAAAAGGGCTCCACATTTTTTCTTTAAACTTCTTATAGAAAGAGTGCCCAAGATGACATAATCATATTTCTCTAATAGCTCGTTTCTTCAAAAATTACATATTTGTAATACACTTGACACCTTCCTCTCGTTATTAATATTTACATTATTGGTGATTTGTAAACGCTATTGCACTTGTGAGAGCGTGTGCTTCAAATCCTGTCTTACAAAGTTTCTCGAAAACTCAAAAGTTTTCTGTGAAAATGAAATCAAATGTCAATATTTCGCATTTTCAGAAACATCATTTTCTTCAATTTTTTTCTTCAAATGTTTGTACGGATAGTGTTAAGATGACAAAACCCATTTTGCTGTATTATTTTGATTTTTTTAAATTTCGCAATGTTTTTTTAAATATCTCTCCCGCCACTATCATACACATTTACAGCTATTTGTATTTGCATTTGTGATTGAAAATGCTTCAATGACTTCCAATAAATTTCCCGAAAACTCAAAAGTTGCATTTAGGCTAAATCTTACACGACATTTCCTTAAAAATGGCTCCAAATGTTTCAACGAAAATGTACATTTATAACGAGGTTTTTCTATTCTTTAATAATCTTAAAGTAATATTTTAGCTCTACCATTAGAAAAACCCCACAAATAGATTTAAAAATAATGTACTTTGGGCGACGATAGATGGGAGCTGGCAAGAGCCGAAACCGAAAAGCTAGCACAGACCAAAGAAGTTAGAAAACTAACTAGAACGAGAAAATCTGTGCCTTTTGTAACACCACTATTTCTAGAATAGCAGCGAGTTCTGTTTTTGATTTTAACTTAGGGTTTTCAATTTTCTGGATTATATCTTGTTGTTTGTAAAATAATTCATCTCTATTCTGCGGTCATTTCCAAAACCCTTTGTATTTCTGCCGAAAAGAAACAACTTTCTCTCATAACATACCATTGCAAATTCTTCTGTTACGGATTGAGAAGATAATGAATTGCGATTATTATTACCAGAGGATACATTCTTGCATTAATTGTTTATCATACTAATTTCCGTTTTCACAAGAAACTAAATGTATAATTTATTTAATTTAAAATGGAGTGTCGAAAACGTGAAAATATCACATTGAATATTTAAGAGTTATTGGTACAAAGATACCCCTTCATTTTCCATCAGTTTATTTCTCTCTCATACACAAAACTGGTGCTGATACGAAAATACACAGACTTTTTCGTACTACTTAGTTTTCTAATTTCTTAGGTTTGGAATAGCTTTTCGGTCTTACCGCAACCTCTTGCCAGCTTCCATTTATCACCAAGCGAATATTGCCTCTCTTCCTAATTTATGTCCTTAGAAATGTCGTCTGGACCCCTTGACTTAACATTTTTCATAGATTTTACTTTATTCCGTAGAACGTTCATTTCAATATTAAACTGCTTTGTAACCGAAGACCCCTGCATTAGTGGATGGCATTGGTGGACGCATTAGTGGACGCATTGGCTTTTGCCCGATCGTTAGTAATGAGCTTGTTTCCGTTTTCACGAACAACTGGGATATCTTCTTTATTTCCTTTCCTTCTACGAAAATATTTATTAAATTCTGTCCAGTTATTTCTCTTTCAGTAAGATGCAGAACATCTTACTGAAGTTGTGACACACGTGTTAAAAATCAATAGCATAGATATCCTGAATGGGGTAATGGGTCCTGTTGGGTCAATCTTAGGACGATGTTCACAGTTACAAGCGAAGATAAAAGAACTAAATAAATATGCTGAATACGCACCATGTACTGGACACTCATTCCATTTAGTAAGGGCTTATGCTGTCAAGTGAGCCTCAGCTGTGACCATTTTCTTTGATTTGGTGGAAAATCTTTGCACCTACTTTTCTTCGTTAATACACTGCTGGGAGATACTTTGTTCATATTTAGGTCCTAATCATAAAGTCGTTAAACAACTGTCACATACTAGATGGTCTGCGCAAGCAGATGCAGTAAATGCTTTACGTGAAGGATATAATGAATCAGATTATGTCTTCAGTCTATAAAAAATGATGTGGCAAATCAATCGCCATAGACACGTCTTGAGCCCCAAGGATTAGAGAAAAATCTTGATAAACTTGAAACAGTTTTTTTAACAATACTGTGGAATGATATCCTCAGTAGATTCAGCAAGTAAATACTGCAAAGTGAACTAGCAGTACTACAGAATGGCACAGACTTTCCCATATTACTTTTCTATTTCCTTTGGTCTCCGCTAGCTCTTCGAACTTGCCTGCTGCCATCTATCGCCACCCAAAGTACATTTTTTGAAATTTTATTAATTTTTTTGGTTTTCTAATAGTAGAATGGACATATTTTAAGAATATTAAAGAATAGTGAAACGAAGACCCAAATGGCAATTTTCTTTAAAAAAATTGGAGTCGTTTTTATGAAAATGGCGTTTAAAACGATACTGTAAATTCGAAATGATGCACTTTTCACAGAAACTTTTTGAGTTTTCATTTAACGCACATTAACTCACAAATAAATAGCGTTTACAATTTGATGGAAATGTGCATATTCACCGCATGAGATATCTTCCAAAAAAATACATTTGTGTAGAAGAAAGAAAAAAATACCCAAAAATGAACTTTCAGTCATATTAAACAGTGCTGTTAGGACAATTCCTTTAAAAAATTGAAGACGAAATTTGAAACCATTTTTGAGATAAAACGTTTGAGTGTTTCTGAAAATGTGAAATATTGAGGTAGATTTCACAGAAAATGTACTTTCGAGACACTTTATACAATATTATTTAAATCACATCTGCTCATAATATAATAATGTGCA